TCTATTGGCAGAAAGATGGCTGCAGACCATCCAAGTGGAGATGATCAGCAGGTGACTCTTTGAGTCTACGGTTGAGGAGAAGTCAAGCTGGTATTTGTAGACTCCAGACAGCCAGGAAGGATCCCCTTGCCCGTGGAGGCCACACCCACACCTCCCCACGGACAGCAGAGCCAGAGGTGCAGGCAGAACTCTGGTTATCTCAGCCTCCCGGATCTCTAGCAAGTGGAGCAGGAGGTTAGAGACCACAGTTACAGCCCCAGCTCTGCCTCTGACCTTTGACCCCAGTGCCACCTCTGCAGGAATGATTATTATAATAGTCACATGAAATATGGAAATATCAAGTACTTTGAACAGAATAAAGTGTCACATTTGTACAGTTTTCTTAAAGTGCCAGCCTCTGTTTTAAATGCTTTATGAGTATGAACTTATTATAATACCCAAACATGTCTATCAGGGGTGCCCAACCTGCGGCCCACGGGCCATATATGGCCCAGGACGGCTATGAATGAGGCCTGACACAAAACTGTAAGTTTACTTAAAACCTTTTTTCTTTTTTTTGACTCATCAGGTTTCGTTAGTGTTTGTGTATTTAATGTGTGGCCCAAGACAACTCTTCTTCTTCCAGTGTGGCCCAGAGACGCCACAAAGTTGGACACCCCTGATAGAGCACTAAAATTTTTTTCAACAACCCACACAATTCGTCTTGAAATCCTTAAAGTTGTTTGAACTTCCCATATCTCCCCTATCAAATACCTTCCAAGACAATTAGGATAATCTAAAATAAGAGCCATCACCAGATTAGATCTGATGGAGCTATATAAAAGTATTTATTGATTAGTCACCACTGAACACAAATATTCCTCCCATGAGAAGAGTCAAAAGAGAGATTGTGCCAGTCTCCTGTGATCCCAAAACTTCTCCCAGGCTACTGCACTGTTTTCAAGCAAATTTCAACAGAGATGAACTCACTGTAAAACAGAGAGAATATAGATAAACACACAGAACAACTCTGATTCCTGTTCTATTTGGCATCAGAAAATTCAAAGTTGGAGGCAGAGAAAAGTGAAGGGTGAACACTTTCAGCAGCTGAGGAGAAGCTTTTGGGTCACTTGAGTCCTCATCAAGTATCACAAATGTCAGGGAAATGTTCACCTATTGCTTAGAATGTTGCCCCGTCTCTTGTCTTAACAGCCTAAAGAGCTCTCCCCAGAAGAAATGAGCACTCTTTGCTTTTTAAGAGAGAAAAACAAAAAAAAGAAAAAAAAAAAAAAACAACCCCAGAGAACCATACTTTGCAAGAGACGAACCCGGCCTAAACTCAGCCTCTGAAATGCCACGCCCAGCAAGCTCACTGACTTCTCACCAGTAACTTAACAAACACTACAAGTTCTCTGGGTTCCTTTTTTCCCTCCTTTATAAAGCAAAAAAACATCTCCACTCAAGGGCCATCTGAGGCTGTAAGCTTCTTTGCCAGCCTAAGTATCCAGCTGATGACAAACTGGCAATCAGAACTGAGTCAGAAGTGCATAATGGGCTAAAACAAAGAACAAGTTAATCTTACTCAAATATTAACCTGCAGCCTAAGCAATTTTTTAAAATTTTAAACAAACAAAAAAATGACAGGCAAAGTAGATACTCTTGGAGTATACATATGCACAAATGACCTGTGCTCTGATCAACTGTAATTAAAGCACAGACCCCACTTGTCTTAAATTGCTTAATTGCTCAAGAAATGTGTCTGGCTCCCACAAAATCTGCTTAATTTTTTTTCCATCCTACTCAGCACCAATTGGAACATATGGCAAAAATGATAAATTTTAAAAATTAAGATTTTAAACAGAACTACACCTTGATTAAAATTAAAATTATTTCAGCGAGTTCAGGAGAGTGAAGCAAAAGCTGAATTAGCAGCTTAACTTAAATGCTAGTTTGTTCTTGTGTTTTATGAAGATTAACAATAGGGTAAGAATAAGAAGTGCCTTGCCCCTTTTCAGAGGCCCCTGGTCAACTGGCATGAGCCTTCAACATTAAATGAGATGAAACAGAATCACAACCAATCCTTTCCATCTAAACATTACAGGCCTGCCTCAGCAGCAACCATCAGAGATGGGAATGGTACAAGAGGAGGACACAAAGACAAGCACTGCTGCAATGAAGAGAATAATCATAGCCCTGGCCAAGTGGCTCGGTTGGTTGGAGCGCCATCCCGGGCACTGAAAGGCTGTGGGTTCCATCTGCGGTCAGGGTACATGCCTGTGTTGCTGGGGGTTCAATCCCCAGTTGGGGTGTGTGCAGGAGGCAACTGATCAGATGTTTCTCTCACATCAATGTTTGTTTCTCTCTCTCTCCATCCCCCCTCTGAAATCAATGAATATATCCTCAGATGAGGATTTAAAAAAAAAAAGATAATCATAAAGGCAGCTAACCCTTTGTGAGCTCTTCCTAGGTACCAGACACTGTGCTAAGTGCCTGATATGAACTAATTCATTCAATTATCTAGATCCTCCTATGAGGCTAGTGCTAGCATTAGTGCTATTTTAGAGAGTAGTAGGCACAGAGGTTAAGTAACTTTCCCACGTTTACACAGATAACGTGTGGGGCAGAGCCAGCATATAGGCCATCCAATTCCCCATACTGAACTGGAGCCAATCTACAATCAAAACATATGAACTATTGTCTGTGGCACTCAATAAGCAAAACAGATTTAGCCTATGCCAAAAGCCATAGGTCAAGGAGCATGAAGAATGAGGCAATACTGCTTAGAGCTGCATGCCTCAGGGTGGAGTGCAAAACGGGGTGAGCTTGAACTGCTGCAACCAGACAACATACTGGCTGAGAGTGGCACAGAGATGGTCTGCAGAAAAGTGTGGTTCCCCTCCACCTGCGAGCGGTCATCTAAAGCAGCTGAGGTTCTTGTAAACCTTGTTCTGTAAGAATGAAATTACTGTTCCTTTTGATTGTCCACTATTTAGACTTCTGGTCTTTATCAACTTTTGGAATGACAGTTCCATTATATTTCCAACCTGCAGGATAAAGAGTTCTCGGATTCCCCCTTAAGTTTCAAAAGGCTCTCCCTGGTCCAACTACTCAAGGATTTGATTCACAAATCTGTGTTCCCATCAATGTCAATGTCCTCCCTCTTTTCTCATATGAAAGCTCCAATACCACATCCATAATTGCATTAGGTGCTACCTCTGGGCCTGCAACATAACACCCTTTTCCCGCCAATAATGGACACGGCATTCCAAGAACTGAGCAACCTTAAATACTGTTTTTTACTTAGTTTCTAATCTCTTTCACTGATATCTTCAAGGCACCATCAACAATAGTTTCTGGACCCATCTCCTATATTGGTATTGGAGGCTTAAGCTCTAATACCTTGTCCTTACAATGTTATTTAAACCCTGGCTGGGTAGCTCAGTCAGTTAAGAGTGTTTTCCCCATATGTCAAGGTTGGGGAGTCCGATCCCCAGTCAGGGCACATACAAGCAACAAATGAATGCATAAACAAATGGGTAGAACAACAAATATGTTTCTCTCTCCCCCTAAGAATCAATACATAAAAATAGAATTTTTTTAAAAAGTGCTGTTTAGCTGTTTTTAAACAAATATATTATTTTATACCTTCCCACAACAAATCTCACTCTCACTGCCACGGAAGATTTTTGGTGGGGCAGGGGAATACAAGTGCACTGCAGCTAAACTTTCTCTTGAGTATACTATAATGTAGTATAATGTTTGGACTTACATTAAAGGGACTTATTCCTCACATCTCTTGCAGAACATAGATTAAGGAGACACCATAACCTAGCAGCCAAAGCATCCACACAATAAAAAGGGCAATATGTCCAGAAACATGAAAAACTGTAAAAAGTTAGAAGGATAAAATCTTAAAGAAATAAAGATTTTAGGAAAAAAATACAATCAAATTAATATTTTGCAAAAAATTCGCAGGGACAGGAAAATTATGCTATTTAATAATAGTAAAAGATTTTTAAAAGATCAAGCATGAAAATGTAGACTTGACTGAAATGACACTGAAAAATAAACTATTTTCATGGCTGTATCCACCGCATTTGAGTCTCCTCTTCAACAATACAAGGTGCAAAGGGCTGAAATGCTAATATAATCAACTAGGATGTGAAAATCAAGGTTCTCCAATATGAGCTGGAATTTGCTAAAAGTCAATAAATGAGAGGCAATTAATCACAGTATCCAGGTACTCAATGTAACCGACCTTGAGCCACAGCTCAGCTGGAACTAAGCAGTCTTGCAAAGGTACATTGAGATTGGAGGTCGTAGGCTGCTTTATTTTACCACCACCCCCGCCCCGCCCACTTCTCCAAACCCTTAAATCGCGTAGCTCTCAGCACAGAGGGCACTGGGTAAAAGGTCAACGTTGCTTCCTGCAGCCTTTGACGGACTCACTTGGGCCTCTCGAGCTGATTAGGTTACTTTACAAAGTTCTACAAAAGTGATGACTATTATTATTCTTTGTAACCCAGCAAGCAAAGGAAACACGCGGGGGGGATTAAAAGGATACCGTTTAGGAGAGCAGAAAACTGCTCACAAATACTGTACAATTTTGAAAAATCCCAGGTCGCTGGAAGCAATTAGGGTGTAAGTCAAGAAGCAAGCAAGCACGTTAGGTCTAAACCTGGGACAGAGACTATACTATCTTCTCTCCGCCAGGTTCCTTTCCAAAGCGCATTCACCAACAAGCTCCACCCAGCCCCTCATCAGGCCTTGAAGGAGACTGGAATTTAGAGACTAGGAAACTGAGGCTCAGCCCCAAGACTCTTGATCTTTGCTAAAGGAACACTCACAGGCCCTGACCCGAGACGTTTCAATTACGCGGGTGAGAAGCGGGGTGGAAATTCCCCGGGTCTCCCACAGACCCCGGCCTCTTTGCGAGACACCCCGCCGGGTCGCGCCCGCCAGCGCTTTCATCTCACGCGGTGAGCAGAGCTAGCGGGGTGCGCTGTCGCTGGGCTGCTCACCTGGGCAATGCCGGCGCCCATGAGCCCGCCGCCGATGATCGTCACGTGCTTGACGATAATTTTCTTCGCCGAGGCTGAAGCTGTGGACGTAGAAGACACTGTGCGCAAGAACTGCCTGGTTACGAAGGCCATGGTGCAAAGCTGGAAGTGGAGGCGGCGGCAGCGACGGCGACCAGGAACCGCGAAGAAGGTACAGCTACTAAGCACCAACAGCCAGAGGACCTCTGTGGTCGCAGGCCCGGGCGGCCCCGCCTCCTTGCGCGCCTCGGGCGTCGCCGTGACGTCACCGAAGACTGGGCTGGGGCACGCGATCTACCAGCTCCTTGGCAGAGGCCGTGGGGACGGCCTTCCAGCGTTGGGAGGTGGTGTCCGGGCCTAAGTGGGCTGCCGCGGCTCGCTACATTCGGCCGCCTAGCCGAGGGCTCACGGCAGCCAGGCTTTGGGTAGGACCTTCAGCGGGGCGAGGCGGTTCGCGTTCACGGATCCGACGAAGAGCTGGCCCTTCCCTTCCCCGGAAAAGCCACTGGCCCCTGGTTAAGATTAAGAAGCAGTGTTGACTTGTTACCTTGTTGCCTTTGATGCTTGTGCATACCTTAGGGCTGAGTTAATACATCTTCTTTGATGGTGGTGATAAAGAGACCCAAAGTGAGCACCCTTGATTCAAGTGACCAAATAACCAACTCCAGGGATTATTTTACTCCCTGTAGATGAGTGTTTCTGCTAAAACGGAAGGAAACTAACTGCTCTCACCAAAATAAACGTCTAATGGCCCATGGGTTCCCATGTAAAGGTCAAGTTTAGACATCTCATTTCAGCTTTAAACTTCTGACGGTTTGGGAAGTAATTGATACCAACAAGGCCAATCTTCTCCCTCGGGTGAGTAATTTCTAGTTACTATAATTCAGTAATAAAAAAATTATTTATTTTAAAATATGTAATAGGACCCACAAACTCACCATCAAAAGTAGGCCTCTTACTAGAAGTAGCTATCATAATGAATCCTGTATTCACCATTCCTTTGCTGTGATCACATCTAATTTCTGTAAAAATATGGGAGAAGCGCTGTTGATTAGCACTGTTAGGCTTGGACCCAATACTAAGGAGAGAGAGGGTCACATCCGAATAATAAAGTCTGTTAAATGCTAGGTTGTAGTAAAGGCAAAACCCGATGGGACTAGAAACGTTTTCCATTCCAGAGATACCTGGCAATTTGGAGAATGAGTATGTGTATGAGTAAAAGTTTTCAAGCCACAGAAAGCAGCTCATGCAAAGGTAGAAACAAGAAAATACTGGTACAGAAGAAGAAAAGGAATTAGCTGTGATGAGGGTGAAGAAAAGATGGTTAATAGGAAGATGCCTGGATGATTCTTTAGGTCGATTTTAACCTTTCATTCTCAGTTACAAGTTGTGTCTAACCGCAAGGTTATACATATTCTAATGACAGTGTTGTCACAACATAATTTTTTTAAATGTGTGTAATGTCAAACATAATGCCTGAGAATGGTGCATTTTCAGGTCCATGATTTGTTTTCCTTAGGAAAGAAAGAATAACCAGTGCTGTGTTTTTTGAGCAATAATCTAATCTGAGGCCTAATCTAATCTCATCTAATCTGTATTTTGTAAACACGTGATGTTGAGAAGGGACCACTGAGAGGAGTCCTGGCTCAGTCACTGGTAGGCAGTACGACCACAGGCAGACACACCTCCTCGGGCTCCAGTGCCTCCTTGGGCTCTGCCTGTCAGAAGCAGTTGGACAGAATATCTTGCAGCTGTTTCATGCTGAGAGTTTAACCTCCATTTACAGTCTTCAGAAGCAAGGGCCACCCTGCCTCGACCCCTGCCCAGTCCTAATCAGATGAGGGTTACAGATGAATCATTCGTCTTTTGCCAGGATAGCTAGTTTTTTCCATGTGTGGCCTTGGGCTTCTGGGTGCCCAGTAACAATTTCTGCGGTCCTTGCCTTGCACAGTCACCCTGTTCTTGGCATCATGCTTCCTTTGTCTCTGAAGAGAGTGGAGTGCTAGGAAGCATGACCCTAGTTGTTGAACCAACTCAGAGACAGTGAAGGAAAGGGTGGCACAGAGTACGGAGTAAGTAATGAGTACTTAGTTTTGTCCTGTAAGTGGATAATTGTAATACGTTAAAAATAGGGATCAAAGAAGCATTATTTCAAAATATACATGGTGGTGTGCTCTGGGAGTGGCAGAGGCAGAGAGTGCAGTTGGCCCTTTGCCTCCAGCAGAGTAGCAGTATACAAGCAATATCAAAGCCTTCCAGTCGTTCTGCTTTAGGAGGCAGGCAGGCAGAGAGACTGGAGTTGGCACTGTCTTCACACAGTCATGTGACAGACACAGCGACCCGAGAAAAGGGTGTGTTAGCAGTCAGGGACGTTAATGGAGGAGGATTCACTAAGTAAATTGGAATTTTCCTTCTATTTGTGAGAAATTAATGATTTCTGGATTACTAGGGAAACTGTGTGTCTTTTTTGAGAGATTTTAAGATTTCATATGGCAGAAAACCAGAAGCTGGGGCTACTCAGGGTAGCCCAAAAGGAAAACTCAGAAGTTCAACCAAAAGCTTACCTACAGCAAAATTAATGAGGGTTGACATTGCCATAATTATGAGAAGTGTTTTCAAGGAAAGAGTCATAATTTGCATAAACAAAATACATAGTTAGAGAAGGCCACAGTCATGTATTGATGTATCCCACTGAAAGATATTTTCACAATGACTTATAAAGCATATAAGGCAAGATCTCTAATAATACTGAACAACTTTACAATAATTTTATCCTCTTGAACTTTTAGAGGAAAATTTATCATGGCAAACTTTAAGCTTTTATCATGTTAGCAGCTGTCCCAATATCAGATGCTCTCTACTTTCATCTTCTCCTCTACTGGGAAAATTCATTAAATCCTCACAGTAACTCTATTTGGTAGGTACTAAAGGTACTCCTCTTTTACATGGAAGGAAATTGAGGCCCAGAGAGGTTCAGAAACTTGGTCAAAACCACATGTCTAAGGAATGGTACAGACAGAAATCAAATTCAGGACAGTCTGCTTTCAGGGCTCATGTTCTTGACCATTATGTTGTTTCGCCTCTCCTTATAACAGCCCAAATGCTACCACTGCCGTCCTCCTCTGAAGGTGAGGAAGCTGAGGTTCCAAACAGTTAAAACATTTATTAAATGTAACCTACCTAATAACTGGCCAGGCTCAGATTTGAACACATTCTGACCTCAAGCTCCCGGTCTTGATCTTTTCATACTTCCATACTCCTTAGAAAGTTCCCCAGCGGCTAGCCAAAAAAAGGAAAAAAGAAAGAAAAAAAGAAAAAAAAAAAAAAAAAAAAAAAGGAAGGGGTGGTTTACAGTAAACATTATGTGTCTAGATTTGGAGGTTTAACTGTTGCACTAATATTATAAAGGTTAAGCAGGTTAATTTATTTAGGCAGTCTTACAAATAAACCCCAGAACTGCAAATTTCACAAAATGATTCCAAATGTTTACACCTGTAGACTCTATAAGAGCCATATTTTTTCTTTTTAAATTACAGTTGACATACAATATTAGTTTCATGTGTACAGCTCCATGATTAGACATTTATATAACACCTGAGGTGATCACCCTGATAAATCTAGTACCTATCTAACAGCATATATAATTATTAACTTATTGACTATATTCCCTATGTTGTACTTTATATCCCCATGAATATTCTGTAACTACCAATTTTATTTCTTAACCCCTTCCCTTTTTCACCCATCTTCCCAACACCTCTCCTATCCGGCAGCTGTCAAAACGTTCTCTGTATCTGAGTCTGTTTCTATTTTACTTGTTTGCTTTGTGTATTTGATTCTACAATTAAGTGAAATTATCTGGCACTTGTCTTTGCCTGACCTATTTCACTAAGCATAATACCCTCTAGGTCTACCTATGATGTTTAAGATAGCAGTATTTCATTCTTTTCTATGGCTGAATCATCTTCCACTGTATCTATGCACTACATCTTTATCCATTCATCTATTGATGGACACATAGTTTGCTTCTAAATCTTGGCTATTGTCAATAATGCTGCAATAAATATAGGAACTTATATGTCTTTTTTGCAGTTGATTTCCAAATACTGAGAGAACATCGTGGTGGAAAATATGCTAGATATGTTTTTAATCTTTGTAAATTTGATGAGGCTAGTTTTGTGCCCCAAAATATGGTTTATCCTTAAGAATATTCTGTGTGAACTAGAGGAGAATGTATATCCTGGTGTCCTGGGATGAAAAACACTGTCAATGTCAATCATGTCCATTTGGTCTAATGTGTCGTTTAAGGCTGATATTTTCATATTGATTTTTGCTTGGATGATCTATCCATTACTGCCAATGATGTATTTAGGTCTCTACTATACTTTTGGGGTTTTGTCTATTTCTCCCTTTAGTTCAGTTAGTAGTTGTTTTATGTATTTTGGTGCTCCCAGATTGGATGCGTGTGTATGAGTAAATGTTATGTCTTCTTGATGTGTTGTCCTCTTTATCATTATAAAATGTCCACCTGTCTCTTGCTATTTTTTGTGTCTTGAAATATATTTTGTCTGATGTAAGTACAACTACGCCCTGTTTTCTCTGGATACCATTTGCTTGATAAATCATTTCCACCCCCCCGCCCCGGCCCCCGACTTCAAGTTAGTGTGTCTTTGCAGGAGAGATATGTCTCCCGAAGGCAGCATATATTAATAGTGGGTTTTGTTTTTAGATTCATCGTTTTCCTCTGTACCTTTTTTTTTATTGACTTAAGAGAGACAGATAGACAGGAAGAAAGACATCACACATGCATTCACCAGTTGACCCTTTTATATGCCCTGACCAGGGGTCTACCCTGCAACCTGAGCCACCTGGCCAGGGCATCTTGCTCTTCTGTGGCTTTTAATTACTGAGTTCAGTCTATTTGCATTTAGATGAATATTGATATCAGGATTTCTTATCGCCTTTTTATCTTTTGTTTTCTGGTAGTTCTGTGTCTCCACTGGTTTTTTTCATTTGTATTTCTGTCTGTTATTTTAGTTTCATAGTATTCCATAATTTTTTTTTCTCTGCTTTCTCTTTTTTTATGTTATGTGTTTCAGCTTTAGATGTTTTTTGGCAGTTACCATTAGGTTTATGCAAAATAAATTTTCAAACATGCCGATAGTCGTTTTTCTTTTGATTCCTACACCACACACCTGTGCAAGTTCAGTCCTTACCCCGTTCGCTAATGCTTTTGTTGTCACAAATTATTCCTTTTCATGCTCTGAGTTCATATCCAAATTACAGTTACTCTTCTCTTTTCCAATATGCTTTTATCTCCATTAACCTTTATGTTAAAAGTACTTAATATCCTGTTCTAAACGAGGGATGCAGTTTCCTGCTTCTGTCTGCTTGTTAGTCATCTTGTTAAAAGTTTTGTATTCTTCTGTCTTTTTGTTTGTAATATGGGTCTTCCAGTGGTAAATTCCCTCAGCCTCTGTATGTCTAGTAAAGCCTTTATATATCCCTCACATCAAAAGCATAACTTTATTGTATTGGCTGATAATTTCTGTCTTTCAATAATTTGAATATTTGATTCCACACTCTCCTAGTTTGTATGGTTTCTGCTAGAAACTTCAGTGACAATCTAATAGAGCTTCCTTTAGGGGCTAACATTTTCTTTTCCCTGGCTGCCTTGAGAATTCTTTCTTTGTCTTTAATTTTGATAATTTTAACATAATATGCCTTGTGGAAGGCCTTTTTGTATTGGGATAATTAGGCATTCTGTTAGCTTCTTTGGTTGGAGGATTCACTTCTTTCCATAGATTTGGGGAGTTTTTGTTGATTATTAATTTGAATGGGCTCTTAGCTCCCTTCTGCTCCTTTCCTGGAATATCCATTATTCTCGTATTGCTCTATCTAATGGAGTCAGATAGTTCCATAGAGTTCATTCACCTTTTGTTTTGTTTTGTTTTTTCTCAATTCTCTCTATTATTCCACATGGGTCGCGATACTATCTTCTATATCACTAATTCTTCCTCCCTCTGGTCTGCTCAGTTTCCTAAGCTCGCTAATTCATTCTTCATCTCATTTATTGAGTGCTTCATCTCCAGAATTCCTGTTTGGTTCCTTTGTATAGTTTCAGTCTCTTTGGGGAAATCCTCCTTTTGTTTATCGATTTTATTTCTGAGCTTGTTGAATTATTTTTCTGAGCCTTCTTGTATCTCATCGAGTTTCTCTAGAACTGCAATCTTGAATGCTCTGTCATTAAGGCCACAGTCTTCCACATGCTTATTTTCTGTAGGTTTTTCATTTCCATTCTGAATTCACTTGTTAACCTAGTTATTCACTGTGCGCTATGGGTTATTTCTCTACCTGAGCATTTGTGAGAATGAAACCTTTTTTTAAAAAAGTGCTTGCCACTTCCGTGTTGAGCAAGTTGATAAGTAGACGTCTTTCATTTGTTTTCCAGTAGGTGGTGCTAAATTGCAAGTTTTTATTTCCTCTTTCTGTGCTGCAAGGCTTCTGGCATCTCTGTGGGACGGTGTTGCCTCAGCCTGGGAAAAGTCCCCTCTCCCCTAGGAAGAGGTTGCCTCAGTCTCAGGGTATCACTCCTGTGGATTTGGAAGTCGCGGACTAGGGGCCTTCTGTGTGTTCCTGATGCTCCGCCTTCCTGGAGCCAGAAGCTGCCAGCAGAGGTGCTCAGTCTGGGTTGACCCAGCTGCCTCGAGGAGGCTGTGCTCCGATGGGTGGGGGCAAACGGTTCGCATATCTGGGGCTCTGTTCTCTTCTGTGGCTTTAGCCGCAAGGAGTGCAAACCACAGAGGCGGGCCGTTTTGCCATGTGCCAAGTGAGGGTTTTACTGCCAGATAGGCCACAGGTGGATAGGGTTGGGGGGGTTCCTGACTCAGCAGAATCCTTTGGTGCTAGTAGGGTACGAAATGCTGGGAACCTTTACGTTGCCGCCCTGCCCCGTGGCGCAGCCTCGGTGTGTGCCAGCCGGCCAGGCTCGATTCCTGTCTCCGCCCCTCTGGTTTGCCCAGTCGTGGTTGCACCCTGAACTATCTATCGCTGCTGTCAGCCATTGCTATGGCGTCCGCTGGGGCCGCGGTGAGGACCAGTCAGCAGTGGGCCTCTGTGTCTGTCCCCGCCTCCCCCGGTCCATCAGCGCTGTCTGCTCAGACACGCCCACGTCAGCTGGGTCAGACCTGTTGGAGTGTTAAGCAGGGAATCCTTTGTAGAATTACAGCTGCCCAACTTGTACCTTCCGGGGAGAGAACCTGAGGTCCTCTCATGCCACCACGCTGCTCACGCCCTACGTGATATTTGATTCACAGAAAAGATCTAGAGAAGGTGCAGAGTTCACATGTTCCCTTCACGCAGCTTCCGGATTTTGACGTCTTACATAGCCATGGCATATTTGTCAAAAAAGAAGAAATTAACATTGGTTCAATATAATTAACTAAACTCCAGAATGGAGAGACATGGGGAAACATGTTCAACATCACTAGTCATCAAAGGAGTACAAATTCACACCACAGTGAGGCATCAGCTCACACTTGTTACAATGGCTGTCATCAATAAACCAACAAACAAGTGCTGGCAAAGATGTGGAGAAAGGGGATTTCCTGCATTGCTGGTGGCACTGTAAATTGGTGCAGTCACTTTGGAGAACAGTGTGGAGGTTCCTCAAAAAATTAAAAATAGAACTACCATGTGACCCAGCAATTCCACTGCCGGATATTTATCTGAAGACATCCAAACACTAATTCCAAACCATTTGTACACCCCTGTGTTCACTGCAGCATTATTTACAATGGCCAAGACCTGGAGGAAACCTAAGAGTCCATCAATAGAGAGTGGATAAGGAACACGAACGACTTGTAGTAAATGCAGCATCACTCAACCGTATAAAAGACTGAAATCTTGCCATGTGTACCTACATGCATGGACCCAAGGTGTATTTTGCTAACTGAAATACGTCAGACAAGCACTAATGCCATATGATTTCACTTACCTGTGGAATCGAAAAAGCAAAAAAACCAAAACAAGCAAACTCATGGACAAAGATAAACTGAGAGTCGCCAATGCGAGGGGTGTTGGGGTGATGGGTGAGAAGGTGGAAGGGATTAAGCAGCACAAATTGCAGGTTATAAAATAATATCACAGGGATGTAAAGTACCGCTCTGGGAATATACTCAATAATATCGTAACGATGTGCAGTGTCAGATGAGCACGAGACTCACTGGAGCGATCACATCACAAGGAATATAGGTATCTCCTGGCTATGTTGTATACCTGAAACTAATATACTGTTGTATATCAAGTGTAGCTGAAAAATGCATCAAAGACAACAAATTAAAAAAAATAGTTTGCCAGAAGAGCTTGTTCAGAGTCATCCTTTTTCTCAAATGATGCTGGACATGACACAGCAAATAAGAAATTGGACTGTGATCCAGTCCCGACAATAACTGTTTGCCCAACCGTCTAAATGCGGATGGAGACTGTGGCCATCTCTCTCTTTCTGGAGGCCTACTCCCTCTTCTATTTCCTAAGCTGACATCTGGTAAAACTGAATTTGGTTTAGCAGTTAAAATAAAAAAGAAACAAAAAGCCAACACTGACACTATCAAAGTTAAAATAAAATGTTTAATGAAAGCATATAATTATGCTAGTGATGAAGGCTGAAAATTATACATTAGGCAGGTGTATAAAACAAAGTACTATAATTTCTACATTACAAAGAAATCACAAAATAGAAAACCATAATATATCAACATATGCAAGGAAAGCATTAACAGCGCATTCGGTGACTTGCCATTTAAAACTGTTTTTAAAGTGCTACAGGGTGAGGCATTAAATTTAAAAATTGAGTAAACATCTGATTTCAAGAGTTCCACAGAACAGATTTTTTTTCCCCTCAAGTAAGGTATAAGCTTTCGTTAGAAAAGTTGAAATTAAGCACATGTAATATTAAGGAGAAACACACTTGCTAATCCCAAATTATTGGCGCTATTCAAGAGCACATTAACTTCCAGATTGGGAACAAACTGCCTTACTCAAGGTGCTTCTTAATCCACACATGTATCTCATCTAAAATCCATGCAACAGCCTCTCCCTTTACTTAGTGTGTTCCTGGGACTTTGCTTTATTAGCTGTTTTTAATTAACAAAAATCTCCAAGGCACCTATGGGTTACCCTGTGTTCTGTTTGTCCACATTGAAAATGCAGAGGGGTAAACTGCTATGGGATCAAGTGGTGGTAATACTGAGAAGTGCTTGAGACAGAACTTCCAGACACAAAACACTGGGAAGTTCGAGTGAACAACGCTACCTTTCAACTAGGTACCGAAACATCTACGGAACGGCGTCCTCTTAATACAGTGTCTGTAAGAGTCTGTGTGCCTACGTGTAAAGCATTAACCATGATGCAAGCAGAAGGGGAGGCTCATAAATAGAGTTGTTTATATATTATCATGATTTCTGCTATCCAAGGAAGGAGTATTATGGCTGAACAAAGGAAAAGGCTGATCATTCTTTGGACTGTGTTCTCACCGGGAGAAATACTGGCATACTGAGCAGGACAATTCTGGAACAGAACTGCCCAGACATTTAGCATCCTGGCCTCAAGGCAGTGAAAGGCAGTAGCAACTCCATCAGCATAGTAACCAAACATGCACCCACACCTTTCCAAATAACCCCTGAAAGGGGTCATTACCTTTCCTGAGAACTTCTTTTCTACAGGGGCCTTCTAAATTAAGAAACAACTTATTCATCTTAAGAAGAATGCCTGTCTTTGAGAGTAGTATTTAAGGGTGAGATACATGAGGCCTAGTTGTGGGAGAACAGAAAAGAAGTGTTCAGTACAATGTGAATCCTTTTTTGATGAATCCCAGTCTCAAAATCCCCAGGCTCACTATTCAGGGTTCAAGGCAAAAGGCAGAGCTGTATCTTTGCCGGTAACGTAGGCAGAAGAGAATTCCGCCATGAAGCCACTTTCTCAGCCAGGCTGTGTATGTAGTCGAAATAGAAGGCAGGCATATAAATTCAGACCTTTCCTCAACATCACTGGACCAGGGTCCACTTCCTCTCGTGTCTGCAAAAAATGAAAACTAAAATCGGAAACAAAAAAGACTAACAAGAACAAAACAAAGCCGCCAAAACTGACGGCACTGAGTTTCGGTGCTGAGAGAGCCCGAGCTCGCCTTAAACTCACATCCTCCTCTGACAAAGTATTTAAGTCTGAACACGATTTTCATGTTCTCACAGGTCTTAGGCAGGTATGTCTTTTTTTGATTCCTAATTTTTTTCTCCAGAAGCCAACAGAGTTTTGATGATGTCAGAAAGGACGTGGACACTTGACCTTTGTTAGTGCAGAGAGCTAGAGGGCAAGGTTAGTTACCACAGGAAACAACTAAGGCACTGAGAGATGAGAAGAAATGCTCACTGGTGGAAGCCACCTGGAGTAAAATTCAGATCTCCTGTTTCCCAGTCCAGTACTTTGTCCCACCCGCTAAGTCACAGACATGGGGACAGTTGCAGATGAAAGCTCCCATGTGTTCTACCCTCTCTTTAGTCTCTACCCTGAGCCTAACCTGGGTGTGCCATCGACTGCAGAAGAAAGAGCGTGTTTAGAAGACATATATTTACAGTCTGTTCACGACCTCATTTTGGAGCTGTCCTTTACCTCTTCGAAATGATTATATTGAATGGATGTGGGGCTAAAGTTAGACCGTATCTTCCCGTCAGGTCGGGCTCCTTAGAATCCTTAGGTAAAGCGAACGTGAAACTCTGCATGAGGCTCACAAACATCAGGAAGAGTTCCATCTTTGCCAGCTGCTCTCCCATACACACCCGCTTCCCTAAAATGAGACCAGAAAAAAAGCAAGCATTATCATGACACCCCGTTTCCTCTCTCAAAAAGGACACGTTTCCATGAAATATCTAAGTCGAGTGTTTTAAATGCTGATACAGAGTTTTAAAATAAAATGGCCACATTTACCCCATGACTTCCCACAGTGATGCTGATGGGGTTTTTTTCACATTGGAAGTTCACATTTCAACGCCTATGCATAAAAATCTAACCTCATCCTAGGTAGCAACTAGAGATAGATCCAATGCGGTGCCTACCTTGTCTCCTCCTACTTACGTACCTACTTACTTCTTTCCACCGCTCTTACCTGGATGATCAGGGAGGAAATCTTCGGGTTAAGACACGCTTGAGCACTCCTCTTCTACACAGAGAACCCTACATGTCCTAACTGGGATCCCAAACGAGGGAGTGCTGAGAACAGGGAACCGCCCTCTCATCCACCAGCCTATCAGAAAGTCAAGAGTTGCTCTTAACTCCAATAGTTCCCTGGGACTCCACCAGTCAGCTCAGCAGATCACAAATGAAGATTTCTGGGCATATTTAAAGACTGAAAACAAAACTGCTTTCATGTTGTTTTTAAAGTCTGAAATGAACATCGTGGAGCTGTATCATCTAAACTATTTAGCTCAGTTCTCTGACGTTAGCTTGCCAAGGAAGAAAAATTTTAGAACAGTATTATGAAACAATAAAAGATTCTTTCTATCTACTTCATTTAAAATTCTGCCATGAAGAAAATAAAAGTTAACTGACCTATCCCAAAAGGAATAAATGTTTCTTTTTTAATGAGTTGTCCTTGGTCATCCAGAAACCGAGTAGGGTCGAAATCCTCGGGTTTCTCCCAGATGGCTGGGTCTCTGTGCACTGACCACAAGTTGGGCAGTATCACTGTGCCTTTAGGAATCGTGTATCCTTGGAGCACTAAAGCAAGCAACAAACAAACAAGCAAACAAACAGTGAACCCGTGTCATTCAACATGCTTCCTGCTAAACAGTTCTGCAAAAACATCGCTAACAGAAAATGCCGAGTTACATATCCAGCTCCTTAGTTTGCTGACACTGAACCTTGAGGTACTTGCAGGCAGGGCAAGACCTTATCAACTGGCATCCGTTTCTCCCTATCACGCAGGACCCAGCCTCAGGGTTGCTTCGACAAATGTTGAGGTGATGAATTCGAGCAGCCGACAAACATAGCAATTAAGAGAAAACACTAAACAAATCACAGTGCGTACCAGATAAGCTTTCTCAAACAACCCAAATTCCTAATACTGAAGTTCTTGTATAAAACTTTGTAATTTACAGCCTTTTATGCCCACACAATATATGATGAGGACGTAAACTAAGGTAAAGGGATGTACAGGGAAGTCCGCACTGCCTCTTAAGCAGCTGAAAATTTCATATGCACTTTAAACAAAGCCCAAAAGGTAGTGCGCACACAGTGTCTCTAATCTGTTCCAAAGAAACCGTTAGATGTCATTCATATGTGACTGCTTCCTACAACTGTCTCATAAGGCAACTTAAGCCCGTGACATTACGGTCTGTCTCCAGAAGGGAAAGTCCTCGTGAGGAGGGGTGTTCACAGAGAGCCTGACTGCCGATACACCGTGGGGCAATAGCGAGTTTACACGTCTTACTACACAAAACAGCTAATTTTTTTACTGTTATTTATTAATTATTGTATTTTTTTCCATAAGAACTGCAAACCTACCTCTGCCAACCCTGTGTGTCAATGGCACGACCGAAAGGACACATTTCACTGTGAGAGGTTGAAACAGGGGCCCTCAGGATCAGGTGGGGTCTCCTAATTCTTTACTGCTTATGCTTCAGTTGCAGAATTGTAACAACTGAAGTAGTATGATGCCCAGTTAAAATCCTTAATTCCATATTTAGACTAGCTCTTCTGACCTCTAAGAAGAGGACAGAGACGCAGGCGCTTTGTTAATTCTAGAGTTTCCTCTATCAATGCAGCCACCGTAAATGGCGCAATCCGTGTGACCACCGTGAGCATCTGCACTGTGACGACTAGAGAGCTGTTTACAGAAAGGAGCCGGGCTGGAATGCCAGACGGAAAATAATGAACAACTTGGACAGAAGCGTTCCCTGGACATTTGACTGTCCATGACACAATGCTAAACCTTCAAAAGGATCAAGCGAGGTGACGGCCACCAGGCCCTCACCTCAGCTCTTCTGGATTAAAGGGCTGGGCTTCCCACAAGGGCATTCAAACGAGGGACACTCGAGCCTTGCCTGTTTTCTCTGAGGTCATGTGAGGAACGGAAAGCGGCACCACCGCAGTCAGCCTCTGCACCTCCATGATGGTGGCTTCTGTGTAGGGCATCTGGGCCTTGTCAGTGAGGGAAGGGGCTCGGTCAGCGCCAATGACCCTTTTAATCTCTTCATGAACCTTGTCTATACAGAAAAAGGAAAGAATAAACCAGGAGATAAGCCAGGAGTGAATTGAGACTGCCCCCCAACACCCACTTTCCATCACCGTAAACACAGCCCTTCACTGGGCAGTTACAGGCCTGAGTCATCCTGAGCGCAGAGAAGCATTGGTCAGACAGTCCGAGTGGAGCGAGCTAGTCGTGGGACCCTGTGCCACTCGGCCACTTAGATGGATAACACAACATGTAAAGGACAAAAGAGGAAGCACAGTGTATTCAGGGGTCCTCTCACTCATTCCCTCATATGACCATCGGACTCTAAGCTTTTACGGGTGACAATATGTGGTAGGCCTATGTGGCCCTCAGCCACACCTAGGCCTCTTGATTTACACATTCTTAGGCAGTCCCCTCCCACTTTGTACCGAGTTGGTCCAAGTGACAAGCAGAGTAAGGGAGAAGAGTTGGAATGTCAGTTGTGAACTTCAGTTATGAAAGACACTGTGGCTCCTGTGCTGGCCATTCAGTCTCTGGGGCCAAGTCAAGCAGCTCCATAAAGCGGCCAAGCGGTAAGGCCTGCAGCCAGTCGTCAAGTGGGTAAGCCACCTAGAAGTGGATCTTCAGTCCCAGTCAAGTTTATGGATGACTGCAACCCCAGCCAGATTTGACCACAGCCCCACGGGAAATCCCAAACCAGGACACCCAGGCTACGCCACTCTGAGCCTTATCCTCAGAAACTTTAGGAGATGCTGTTGTTCTAAACTGCTCAGTGCTGGGATACTGTTACGCAGCCATAGATTAATACAAGGAGGTAGAATCCTATCTACACTGAGACAAAATTGCCCTTCAAAGATGTCCACAACTTAATCCCCTGAATCTGCTGAATAAGTGATCTTACCTGGCCAAAGAGTCTCGTCAGGTGTGATTAAATTAAGGACCTGGAGAGAAGGAGATTATCCTGGAGTGTCTGGGGATGCCCAACCTAATTAAGTGCGGTTTACATCACAGAACTTTCCCAGTGGAGTTTAGAGTCAGAGGGAAATGTTTCTATGGATGAATGGGCAGAGAAATGCAAGATTTCTGGCTGCACAGATGGAGCAAACTGGAGATGGATTCTCCCCTAGAGCCTCCAAGGAGGAATGCAACCCTGCCGACATCTTGATTTTAGCCCCGTGAGACACGTGTGGCACGTCCAATGAACAGAAGTGTAAGAAATTGGTGTTAGGACGCTAAGGTTGTGATTATGTGTCACAGGAGCAATGATAACTACTACACTAACCTCCCAGTGTGTTCTTCCAGTATGAAAGGCCACTGGCATTCACTGCCTATTGTTACCGACGTGGTAGAACTAGCTGTGTGAACTCGTGAAAGTCACGTTAACTTCTCTGGGCCTCTGTTCTCCATTTTCAAAACAAGATGAATGGGTTCTGATGGCCATTACTATCCCTCCGGTTCTAAACTGTTATTGCTTTCAAAGTTCTTTCTTCATCACACATTCCACACAGAATCAGGCCCTTAGAGATTTAAAGCAGTTTGACACCGTCTGGAAGCTTGGAGTTTCACTGCTAACACCGTCCCAACTCCCTATGAGATGCAAGTATTTCCATTTGGTTTTCCAGCCTGAAGACACTGCTTAGTGCTAGGAACCACAGGATCACCCGGGTGACTGATCCTAATTTAAACAACCTAGTAGTGCCATGAGGAAAGGAGACTTTAATTACCTTGGATGTCAGGGTTCAGTGACATGTACAGAAGGCACCAAAGCAGAGAGTTAGTTGCCGTATCAGTCCCAGCAATGAAGAGATCTCCGATGATATGAAATAAGTAATCCTCATTAAAACTGCTATTGCTATTATTTTTCTTCTCCTCCTCCACACGGACAAGGTACATATCTATGAAGTCCTGAGGGTTCTTGACATCCAGAGACTCTCGATGGTCTTTAATGATTTTTTTAAGGAAAGTGGTCATATCCTTCTCAATTTGCCTTAGTTCCTTAAACGGTCCAAAGGGAAGGTAATAAAGCCAGGAGCATATGTTGATCAGTTGGAGCTGACTGTTCAGAAAGATTTCTAACCCTCTTGACATAAAATTAAGCATTTTCTTAAACTCACTGTTGGTGTAATCAAAGCGCTGTCCAAAGCACATAGAGCAAATGATGTTAGAGACGGCATTGTTGACAATGGGGAAAGGATTGAAGGGGTCTTCTCTGTGCTTTTGCATTTCCTCTTTCACGTATTTGAACTCCTCGATAATCTTGGGCTCCAAGCTAAGCTTTCCTAAGCCAAAATGACGAAGAGTAGCATGAGAGAACTTCCTCTGTTGTCTCCAGACTGGACCATAACGTGCGAATACAATCCCTGCAAAAAGACACACGAGGAAAAAGGTGAGCGGGGGCAATGTCTGAGAATACTCACAAGGACATACCAGGAATGTATTCTGTACTTCTCGAGTCCCTTGTGCAAAGTTCATATAAAGATCACCAGCCAAGACAAATCATTAGCAAAGTATCGTTGTCAAGGTAGAGTATATGTTTCGAATGACAAAAATCCCATGCAATTTGATCAGGGAAGAAATGTGCTGTACAGCTTACTCTTAGAGATACTAACTGCTGATGAAACGAAAAGTAATGAGTTTCATTTTTAGAGATAGTGTACATTTCAAAATCCTATTTTCACGAGAGTGAACCCAGGATTAGAAAATATTTCAGCCTGGGTACATCCATATTCTGAACATTCTGAGAAGAAGGATTAGTAGTACGGTAGCAGACTGCACATGAGGGCGGGAAAAATACTGGTTGTGCTCATCGTTAAAATCCCAGCTTCTGGTATAGTGCTGGGCACAAAGCAGGAGCTTGTTAAATAAATATAGCTCAATAAATCAATAGCCCAACTGGATCTGAACAGTGGGCATCAAAATCTGGAACCGAATACTGGGCACGTAATCTACAATGTCTGTGTTGGCAACAGCCCTGATTTATAACCATCTGAACTCAAGGTCATCCACAACTACATCTTATTTGACTCTCACTGATGTTATATATCCTCCACCGTGAAACCCAACAGTATTGCTCTCAGGTATTCCTCGTTTCCTGTAACCTATTTCATCCTCCTACCTTCCACGGTGTGCGTTATTGTTTCAGCCAGTGTTCTCCTTTCCCACTTTAATCCACTTCATTTGTGCTACCCTCGATGACATGCTTCATTCACTTAACAGATATTTCAGAATTCCTACTATGTGCCAGGGACTGGAGTGTAGAACAATAAAAGGAAATACTGTTAGTTTATAATAAGATATATAGAAACTTTATAATTAATGTAATATCTAATGGAGATATTTCCCTGCCATACCCACCACTACCCCTGTGTTCTTTTTTAACATTGTTTTTTTGTCATTCCTAGCTCTTTACTCTTTTATGAATCTTAATCATCTGGCAAAGTTATATTTTTGTAAAAAGTGCCTTGGAACTTTTATTGGATTTAATTTTTAAAAAATTCATATTCATAAATGAAAATGCCTATATATTTTCACTTATGTACTAATGTACTTGTCTGGATATACTGGCCTCCTAAAATGAGCCAGGGTATATTCTTTCTCTATGGAAGAATTTGTCTAAAATTATGACATCTTCCTCTTTTTTTCCTTTGAGTTTATGTTTTTCTTCTTTTTTTTGATATATAAAGTTCTTCTAACTCATTAATTTTCAGACCTTTATCTTAATAAATGAGTTAAGGCTCTGCTATTTGCCTCTGGTACCTTTTAAGGTATATTCACAGGAATTGTTTGCATGTACTTTCATTACAGTTTAATTAAAAATTTTTTTTGTTATGATTCTCTTTTGCCACCTAGCTCTATTTGTCTCATACTGATTTTTGACACTGATGAGCTTCCTTTTAGCCTGGTATGTGATTAATTCAATAAGACTTTCAAATAGTTAAGAATTTTTATCCAAGAAATTTTTGGGGTATAAGCTTCCTTAGATGTCCAACAAAGAAAGCTTGATAACTGTTGGACTCAAATCTTCTTTTTTCTTTTTTTTTCCACTTCACATATTTACATTTATTGCATTTCTTAAAAGTCAAAATACCAATTCTAAAATGATTTTTAAAAAATCCCTTTGCTAATTCTCTCTTTTGCTTTCTTTTTTTTTAATTTACTGAATTTATTAGGGTGATATTGATAATAAAATTATTTAGATTTAAGATGTACAATTCTATAATACATCATCTGTATATTGTATTGTGTGTCCACCACCCCAAGTCAAGTCTCCTGCCATCACCACTTATTCCCCATTTTACCCTCTTCTACCTCCCTCACCCCCTTTCCCTCTGCTAATCACCATACTGTTTTCTGTCTGTGAGATTTCTTTTTTACTCTTTTTATTTTTTACTGTCACTTAAATTTATATTTATTTATCATGATACCATTTCTTCTATGGAAAGTTTGTGTGATTTCTCTCTTCTTTTTAAATTTATTTTTTCAAATATATTTGTCTCCACCTTCCCCCCACCACTTTCCCTTGCCCCCTCCCCCGCTTCCCCCCCTCAACCCTTTCCCTTTGGTTTTGTCCATGAGTCCTTGCTATATGTTCCTTGACTTGCCCTTTCCTCTCCTTTCCCCCCCCCCCGCCCCTCCCTCCCTTCCCTCTTGTCTCTGTTGGTTTCCTTTCTTTCAGTGTTGCTGGTCTTATTTTCCTTGCATCTTGTATTGTTGGTTAGGTTCCACTTATAGGTGAGATCATATGGTATTTGTCTTTCGCCCCCTGGCTTATTTCGCTGAGCATAATGCTCTCTAGTTCCATCCATGCTGTCGCGAAGTTCACTAGTTCTTTTTTTCTTTCTGCTGCGTAGTATTCCATTGTGTAAATGTACCATCATTTTTTGATCCAGTCATCTACTGATGGGCATTTAGGGTGCTTCCAACGCTTGGCTATTGTAAATTGTGCTGCTATGAACATTGGGTGCATAGGTTCTTTTGAATTGGCGTTTTTGGATTCTTCAGGTATAGTCCCAGCAGGGGACTCACTGGATCAAAAGGCAGTTCTATTTTCAGCTTTTTGAGGAAATTCCACACTGCTTTCCACAGTGGCTGCACCAGTCTGCATTCCCACCAACAGTGTACTACTGTTCCCTTTTCTCCACAGCCTCGCCAGCACCTGTGGTTTGTAGACCTGTTTATGATGGCCATCCTGACCAGTGTGAGGTGGTACCTCATGGTGGTTTTGATCTGCATTTCTCTGATGGCTAGTGATGCCGAGCATCCTTTCAAATGCCTCTGGGCCCTCTGTATCTCTTCCTTGGAAAAGGGTCTGCTCAGGTCCTTTGCCCCTTTTTTTTGATTGGATCATTTGTCTTCTTGGAGTGGAGTCGAGTGAGTTCTTTATACATCTTGGAGATCAAACCTCTATCTGATGTATCATTAGCAAATATATTTTCCCATACGGTTGGCTCCCTTTTCATTTTGCTGATGTTTTCTTTAGCTGTGCAGAAGCTTCTTATTTTGATGAGGTCCCACTTGTTTATTCTTGCCTTTATGTCCCTTGCTTTAGGAGCCATATCAGTGAAAAAATTGCTGCGTGGGATACTTGAGAGTTTCCTGCCAATGTTCTCCTCTAGGACTTTTATGGTGTTGCAACTGATATTTAAGTCTTTTATCCATATTGAGTTTATTTTTGTGTATGGTGTCAGCTGATGATCCAATTTCAATTTTTTGCATGTAGCCGGTTGGACTCAAATCTTCTATGTCCCTACAAAATTTTATGTGCCTGTTCTCTCAACTACTCAAATACTTATGTTAGAACGCTCTGCTATAATGGTATGTTTATCCATTTCTTTTTTGCAGTTCTATACGTTTGTTACATGTAAATTAATGTCATAGCTGTATATTTATATCAATACCTAGGTATCTGTCTGTAGTTTGGTACATGTATACACTAGACAATATTGCTAGGTATATTCAAGTTGGGAATTATTCTATCTTCTTTGTTTAAAAAACATCACCATGCAATACCTTCCTCATTCTTAACAATTAGTCTGACAAAGCGTATTTTGTCAAAAATACATCAGCTTTTCTTTTTATAGTATTTTTTATTTTTTAATTTTATTCATTTATTTTTTTACATCACCATTTAGACCCCCTATATCCTCTTCGACCTCTACCCACCTCCCTCCCCTACCATCACCACACTGTGGTCGGTGTCCACAAGTCCTCTCTCTCCTTCCGCCTTATGCCTCCTGTTCCTAGTCCCCCGCACCCTCCACCCTGGGCTGTCAGCTTGCTCTCTATGGATGAGTCTATTTCTGTTTTGCTTCTTAGTTCAGTTTGTTCCTTAGATTCCACATATGCGTGAAAATATACTTGTCTTTTTCTGCCTGTCTTATTTCACTTAGCACAATGTTATTTTCCTTACTTTTACTTTGACCTGAACATATCCTCATGTCTGGGGTATGTCACTTTTTTGAGGGGAGGGTATATCTCTTTTAAAATAACATATATTTGGATCTTTTGAAACATCCATTTTGGCAGTCTTTCAGCCTAAGTATAGGCCATTTACATTTATTATACCTACTATTCCTAAAACCATTTTGTAACTTTTTATTTGTCCTGCTATGTCTGTCTATTCTGTTTCCCCTTTCTTTCTTGCCTTCTTTAGCATCGAAACAGGGTTAGTGCTTACCCTTAAATTTTTTAAAAGATAATTCAAAGTCTAGTTCAGTGGTCAGCAAAGTAGAGACCAAAGGTCAAATCCAGCCTGCGATTTTTTGTACTACCAGCGAGCTAGGACTACCTTTTACATTTCTACATGGTTGCGAAGAAAAAAATCCAAAAAATATTTTTGGTATATGACACTGGTATGAAATTCAAATATTGGGATTGATCAGTAAAGTTTAACTAGAATACAGCCAGTTACCAAGTCACTGTAATTCATTTATGAGTAATCTACAGCTTCTGCACTATAATGACAGAGTAGTTGCAACAGAGATTAGTGGTGGGGGAGAAAATTTTCTCTGTCAGTTGCTTGTCTCTTTCAGACCAAGACAAGCAAATTTCCTTGTTTTCTTTTGCAGGTGTCCAGGTCTGTTGAGTGTTCATTGTCTAATTCACTCCATTAAGTTCTTCAAGAGTCCTCTCTTTATCTAGAGATGACTTTTCATCTTGCATGGTACAAAGTCACATCCCTCTGAACTTGCTTCCCCAACTCTGCATCCTGAGCCAACCAAGAAATCGCTAAAACCCAAGGTTCTCCAGAGCATCTGCTTTCCATTTTCTGCAGGGGTCAGGGTGGTAACAGGAACTCCTCTCCTACATTTTATAGGCAGCAAACAATGGCTGTTTTTAGCCCACTGGCTCACCTCTGTACCTCCAATTCCTGAGCCTTTTGTGGATTCTGCAGGGTAAACTATCTCACGCACCACTAGTACTATCCACTGTAGACACATAAAGGTTGTCATCCTTCAGTCTATGAAGTCATCTGCCAAACCTGTGCCCACTTTTTTGTCTGCAGGTCAGTGGTGCAGGACTATAAATCCATTTCATCACGGGTAGAATATATGCCTCTGTTAAAAGTGCCTCTGGTTTGGTGAGTGATGGTCAAGACAAATGTTTTAACAGTTCCCCAAAAGAGAGCCCTGCCTTTGTTTAATAAAACTCCATAAACTGTTTCCCAGGTGATCATAGCTTAGTCACTCTTCCTGTTTTGAACCATGGCCAAGTTTTTGCTGCAGTCAGCATTCACCAAGTGTTATTGGGCCTCCTCTTTTCTTGGAAAGATATGGTTTCTCACTCTAACGTCAGGATTTTATATCCATTCTAACTACCACCTCATCATTTAAGATATTAATATATGACATTTCTACTTTGTCCTCTTACTCAAGGAACTTTATTTTTCCTTTGTTAGGTCCTCTGTCTGCATCATCTACTCTCCATCTTTTAAATTACACATCTGTGTTTTAGAAATACCTCAACAAAATGCCCTTTTTCTATCAGTTTTCCCAATATTTATTTACAGTCTCCTATGTGTCTGATACTAAGGGCACAAAGGTTTCGAAGACTCAGTCCCTGTTCTCGAGATGCGTACCGTCTTGTAAGGAACTGGGTAAACCAACAATTCTAAAACACTGTTGTATGTTAGATTGTATTGAATTTGCACATTGTATTGGATGTTGAATCATGGAGGTGTATCGAAGTTGCGGTGTAGACAGAGGAAGGAACACCATGTCAGCTGAGAGAAGGCAGTACTTCTCAGAAGAGAGGCGATCTGGGCTGATACTTCATTTGTTCATGAGATGCATGAAAGCACTTCTTAGCATAAATAAATAACTTCAGTGAAGTTAAAGAGGGTGCTTTAAGAAGGGCTAAATTACCTTCAAGGGGAAATCAAGTTCATGCAAGGCAAGAAAGTGGAGGGAATGTTCTTGAGAGTGGCTAATATTTGAGCATCGGGTTTTTTTTTTTTAATTTTTATTTATGAATTTTAGAGAGAGGGAGAGGAAGATAGAGAAACATCAATTTCTCATTCCATTTATTTGTCCATTCATTGGTTGATTCTTATATGTGCCCTGACCGGGGATCAAACTTGCAGCTTTGTGTGTATGGGAGACAACACTCCAACCAAATGAGTCACCCAGACAGGGCAGTCTAAGTATGGAAAAAACTCAAATATAACATCTAACCTTTCTGGCAATGCGTTAACTATTTCCAGCCTCTCTATGCACATCACAGTTTATGAAACATTCCCTTTTCTGCTAATCTTTAGCAGCACAATTATTTTAGATATCTTGTAATAAGTATTTAGTAATGTTACTGGTGTCTAATTCCTAACATGATTTCTTTTCTCTAACAGTCTACACATCTTGTTTCTGGACAATTTCACATTTTATAATTTTGCCACTGAAAACATTTAACCAAAGGTGGGTTGGGAACTCAAGTCTTGCTCCACTTTTAGCTTCAGTGGTCTCTCTTCTTCAGGCTGATCAGCCATCCATTTCTTGACCTGTGAAATCTAGTGAGAACTCATCTGTTCTTTCATTCTTTGGCAGGCATCTGGAAATAAACTCACATTCTCCTCTCTAATTCTTCGCTCTTGAAAAAATTCCAATAAACAAGAAAAAGATGACCTGTTCTCTATTTCAAACGAAGTTCACAAGCATTTTCTTTGTGACATATGTTCTTCTTCTACCTTTTCTTGTCCATCACCTTCATCAGCTACAGAAATTTTTCTCAGTTCCTTCACAGCACATTTTGTCCAACACATATCCAACCCGAATAAGGACAGCATTGCCTAAAACATCCTGTGTCTTGAGGAGTGAATGTTTTCACTGAGATACTGAAGCACCTAATTTCCTCAGGCTCCCGGAGCTTTCTTAAATAAAGAGGGGTCTGATGATAATCTGTGATCCAACTAACACTTAGAAACTGTCATTGCAGATTCATGGCCAAACTATACAGCTACCTACAAGGAACTCAAGGAAGAAAATCTAATTCCTACCTTTAAAAACATACAGGAAAAGAGAGAGATGCAACACAAAGTACAATATGATGTGGTTAAGTGTGTCAATAAATGCTTGTATACACACATTCGTTCACTTCTTGATTACTTTCTCGGTGCCAAGTAGTGGGAACACAGCGGTTACCAAGATGAACAGAATCTTTGCCTTCACAGAACTCACATTCCAGTCGTAGGTGGACTTGGTCATAGGCTAAATACTTTCAAAGCGTTTATCGAATGAAGCAAGGATGGAAACAAGTAAGTTGTGGTAGTGGACGGTGCCTAAAAATAGGGCCAAAAGACAACAATTGGCCTGAGAGGTGATGAGGAGTCAGTCAGTCAAGTGAAAAGTTATTCGGGGCTCAAGGATGACAAACTCAGTGGCCTGAAGCAGTCACAAGCCTAGTAGGAATGAGCTTACTGTGCCTAGAGCAGGTTGAAATAGGCAAGCAGAAGGAGAGTGGACAGAAAATCAGCAAGGCAGGTAGGGTGAGAGTAAATGTGATATTCTATTGCAACAGGTACCGTCTTTCCTAACCCAGACAATTTGTCCAAATTAGACTCCCACAGGCAGGAATCACAGCGCCTACAAACCCGGTGTATTAAGTGTGCCAACAGGCTCCCAAAGTGTTTTCTGGACTTTCTATCTTATGGGAAGCCAAATACCTTCAACTCTTGCACACAAAACTCACAAGGTGAACAAACAGCCCTCCCTCTTTCTCAGCCCAGCTTCTTCCCAGGACACCGCCTGAAGAGTGAGGCTTGGTCCTGGGAAGGAGAGAACACCCGCCCCCGGAGAGACGCAGCCCGGCTTCAGTCCGTGTTGTCACCCTCTTCCCTCCATCACACTTTCTGAATTTTCCGGCGCGTTTCCTACTTCTGCTCTTGAAATATGAACGAGTCCCTTCTCAGTTACAGCTGGATGGCATCTTAAAGACGCTGAAAAGGGGGGCGCCCCCGCCGCCGTTCCCCGTCGGCTGGGATGCAGGAGTGCGGCGGCGGGGCGCGCGCGGACGGAGGGGGCCCGAGCCCTGCAGCCTCGAGCGTTCCCACGGCCCGCGACACCCCAAGCTCCCAGCCACGGCCCAGCTCACCCTTCTCCTTGGTGACGAGGGACACAAGCGGCACCCGCGGACGGTCGCTGAAGACCTCGGCCTGCTGCACCAGCGCCTCGCGCACGCTGTGGAAGTCGTTGAGGACGACCACCAGGTGGTGGCCAATGAAGAAGCTGTAGATGTTGCCATAGACGTGGGCCAGGCGGCTCAGCAGCACCTGCGAGCCCAGTGAGGAAAGGTCCACGTTTGCGGCCCTTTCCCAGCGCTTCACCCAGCTGTTTCCGCGGAGGAAGGGCGGCAGCAGCACAAAGCCAAAGTTGCCAACCACGGGCCAGGGCGCGGGCCCCGGGGGGATGCCCGGCGGCCGGCACCGCCACAGCCAGCTCCAGCCGAGCAGCGCGGCCAGGCCGAGTAGCAGGAGCGCGCCGCCGGTGGGGTCCAGCCGCAGCAGCCCCAAGGGTGCGGGCAGGAAACTCGGTGGCCAGAGCGAGCTCTGGGTCGGGGGCTGCGGAGGCGCGGGGACGTCCATGGCGGGTGAGCAGGCGGCCTCCGCCTGTGGCTCCTTCACCTGTCCCCGGAGAGAGCCCGCAGATGCGGCATTAAAATGACCGAGTAGTTGCAACAGAGATTAGTCCATGCCAAGATAAGCAAATGCATTTGTTTTCTTTGGCAGGTGGACAGGCCTGCTGAGCGTTCTCCGTCTAAATCACTGAGTTAAGTTCTTTAGGTGTCTTAGGTGAGGTCTCAGGGACCGCAGCTGAGAGCGTGGGATGGGTGCAGCGGCAGACTGCGCCCTGATTGGCTGCCTCCCGCAACATCTCCTCCAAACAGCGGCCCTAATGAAAACGCGACGGGCTCGCTAAGGCTCAGACGGGGTCCTCTGACTAGACGGGGCGGGCAGTCTGCCACTTTGCCCCCCGATTTGCGTAGCGCTCCTCCTCAGGGTTCGGCCATGCTGTGGCCAATCCTGAAACAAAGATGCGGGCAACTCATTCTTGCGCTGATGCTGCCGGACTTAAGTCCTTCGTTTATCCCACTAGTGTGTAAATCCTGGCAGGGAAACAAGCCCCTGAAGGGATTCAGCTTCCACCAGAGCAGCTTCTCCCTCAACTGGGAGAGAGAAGTCCTCGACCCACCCCTTGGTAGCAAAAAAACCAGGGCTACTTCTTTATCCAAATCAAGATTCGGAGGAAAAAAGGATCCCCAGAGACAGGAGGATGGCGGAAACGCATTGTGTTAAATTCGTAGGCTTGGGTGACCGACGCTGAGGAAAGGATGGGCGGGGGATGGTGGCCGGTGGGGTGGTGGAGTCAAGTTCTTGGAACTTGTCAGGGTCAGGGAACCTCTTTACGTGGAGCGTGAACGCTCAGCGTCTGTTTTCAGCCCGCGGCCTGGGTAAAGCAGACCTATGTCAGGAATTTGCTTGGAGGATTCAACTAGCTAATACTATAAAAAGACAATTAATAGGGTGACTAGGGGGTGACTATTATTATTATTGATATCAGACCTAACTTGAAATGCTGGTTAAGATGGTATATTGAATTGTATAACAATGTTAAGGCAAAAGTCCCTCTTTTAATCTTCCATCATAATGCCTCCCAGAAGCTTCCCTTTTTCCTCTTCTGCAGGCTAAATCCTCTTATTATTTGACTGACACATAGAATTGTCGATATGAGACCATCTTTAAAATTTACTGAAAGGTCAGTTTCACATGAATCATCTTAATTGACCATACGAACACATCCATTTCCCTACTTTTGATTATTTTTTCTTCTGCACACACCAAAACTTTGAACACCGCGCTGTTCTCACAGAAGTGTGGCCAAAGCATAGTGAGCCCTCTTTATTTGTTCTGTGACCCATTCTATGTTTTCTAAAAACTGATGCCAGGAGGCTATGCTAACTTTCAAGTCTACGCTATTCTAGTGTTATTTTTGCCATGTTCTTTGTAAGTTGTCATAAGCTTAACAAAATAAACCCTCATATATTCTATAAATAACCATTAATTAGATTACTTTTCTCATTTTTTTGAATTTAGAGAATTTTTAACATTTAAACTACTCTACTTCTTTGCAGATATGTACATCAACATGTCATCTGATTCTCTTCATGGCCCTGCTCTCTAAAATAGTAGCCACTAACATCTTTCCTCACAAGCAAATTCACCCATGATTTAGAATAGCTGAAAATGTGTCTAATTCAACAACCGTAACAGACACCCCCTTGTATAGGATGTAATTGCACTCACAGTGTTTTCCTAAATATTCTCTGCATCAGGTCTGTGATGCAGATAGGAAGTGTTATGGGCTGAACTGCGTTCCCCAAAAAACTCATATGTGGAAGTCCTAACCCCCAGTACCTCAGAATGTGACTATATGTGGAGACAGGGTCTGTAGAGAGGTAATTAAAGTAAAACGAGGTCATAAAAGTGGAACTTAATTCATTATGACTGATGTCCTTGTAAGAAGTGGCGATTAGGACCAGACATGTGCACGGGGGAAGGCCCTGTGAGGACACAGTGAGAAGGTGGCCATTTGCAAGCCAAGGACGGAGGCCTCAGCGCCTTGACCTTGGACTTCCAGGCCCCAGAACACTGAGGAAATACATTTCTGTTGTTTAAGCCCCCAAGTCTATAGTATCCCATTTCAATTCCCTGCTTTTAGACTCCGGACCCTTTATAATTTTAAAGGACAATGGGCAAAGGTCTGAAAATCTTCTGGAGGCACTTCCTGCTGGCCATGGCCATTGTCCTACCTACCCCTGGATCTAGGGATCCACAACAGAGTGTGGGTGTGGAGCAGAGAGTGGCTTTCATTGGCAGGGAAGGACCTTGTAGAGTCCAGGTCAGTTGGCTGTCCCTGGGGAATGGATGTTCAGTGTCCAAAGTCCGGCACTGCTGGACAAACTGACATCCTTGTCATACCCTAGGGGGCAATAGATTTAGCAAATGGATTAGAAGCCACAATTAATACCCTAATACTAAGTGACAAATTCACGGGCCAATTCTTCAATGTCACACATTAGGAAAAGAGTGGCTTCTTTGGAGGAAGGTGTGGAAGGAGTGTCACACCTGTCCAAACCCTTTTTGACACTGCACTTAGCTTGAGTTGAGGGGGATATTTCCGGGTTTCCCCTTTTTAGACTTCTGGGCCCTTTTTGTTCAAGCCATTGGGGCAGAAAATGAAGCCAGTTTGAAAGTGAAGCCCACCAACCACCCCATGCTTCCAACCCAGCCCCTTAATTTAGCCACACTGTTGCGTCTCAGGAGGTGATGCTGCTGATGGGCTGCTTAAGTGAGGCCTACATTGCAACCATTCACTCAGATAATGAGATCTTAGGCTTATGGCCTATGAGAACAGAAGGAAGAACACACATCATAACTCTCACAACCCACACATCAGCCTCTGAGTCTGTGAGACTCCCTTTTGGGAAGACATCCAGTGGCATAGGCCTTTGCTGGCATGACGTTTAAGAGTGGTGATTTGGCAGATTTGCCTGTAAATTGAGCATCTCTGGTGATGTCACAGACCCAACTTCTGCATGAAAACCAACTTTGAAGACAGTTAGCTGCACTAGTCTAATGTCCAGCACTGAGCAGTGTGATTGTCCTTGAATCATGATTTTTTTCCTCCTTAAAATCACCACCATTGTCATTAAAAGGACCACATTAAGTGCAGTTTTAATTTTGCCTGTTCATTTGCATAACCACAGTGAGCATTTTTCTCTCCCCTTTATTCCCCTCTACCTTCCATCCCCCCCCTCACCAGCACTCCCCCCTCTTTAGTTCATGTCCATGGGTGGTACATATAAGTTTTTTGGTTTCTCAGTTTTCTGTACTATTGTTAACCCCCCTCTGTCTATTTTGTACCTACCATTTATGCTTCTTATTTCCTCTACATTTTCCCCCCCTCCTTTCTTCCCTCCCCGCTGATAATCCTTCTAGTTTCTCCATTTCTGTGATTCTGTTCCTGTTCTAGTTGTTTGCTTAGTTTGTTTTTGTTTTTGTTTTTAGGCTCAGTTTTTTACAGTTGTGAGTCTGTTGTCATTTTACTGTCCATAGTTTGGCTCTTCTTCTTTTTCTTAGATACATCCCTTTAAGATTTCATATAATAAGGGCTTGATGATGATGAACTCTTTTAACTTGACCTTCTCTGGGAAGCACTTTATCTGCTCTTCCATTCGAAATGATAGCTTTGCTCGATAGAGTTATCTTGGATGTAGGTACTTGCCTTTGATGACATTGAATACTTCTTTTCAGCCCCTTCTTGCCTGTAAGGTTTGTTTTGAGAAATCAGCTGATAGTCTTATGGGAACTCCTTTGTAGGTAACTGCCTCCTTTTCTCTTGCTGCTTTTAAGATTCTTCATTATCTTTAATCTTGGGAAATGTAGTTATGATGTGCCCTGGTGTGTGCTTCCTTGGGTGCAACTTCTTTGGGACTCTCTGAGGCTTCCTGGGTCTCCTGGAAGTCTATTTCCTTTGCCAGATTGGAGAAGTTCTCCTTCATCATTTTTTGAAATAAGTTTCCATTTCTTGCTCTTCCTCTTCTTCTGGCACTCCTATGATTTGAATGTTGGGATGTTTAAAGTTGTCCCAGAAGTTCCTAAGCCTCTCCTCATTTTTTGGAATCCTTGTTTCTTCATTCTGTTCTGGTTGAATGTTTATCTCTTCCTTCTGCTCCAAATTGTTGATCTGAGTCCCAGTTTCCTTCCCTTCACTGTTGGTTCCCCATATATTTGTCTTTATTTCACTTTGCAGAGCCTTCATCTTTTCCTCCATTTTGCGACCACACTCAACTAATTCACTGAGCATCCAGATTACTAGTATTTTGAACTCTGCATCTGATAGGTTGGCTATCTCTTCATTGCTTAGTTGTATTTTTTCTGGAGTGTTGATCAGCTTTTTCATTTGGGCCATATTTCTTTGTCTCAGCACACTGGTTAGGTTGTGAGGGGTGGAGCCTTAGGAATTCACCAGGGTGGGCAACCTTTTTTGCTGGGTTCTGGTGCTGTCTGTCAGGGAGGGGTCAGAGAGGGAACTATGCCTTTTGTTTGGCTCTCAGCTGGGTTTCAGTCACTCCCCAACCCCCTGCCGCTACCCACAAGCAAGCTGGGCCCTTTTGATGCCCGGGTGAGTGGGTTTGTGTACTTTCTGGGACTCTGGGGGTCTCTCCAATGAACTTTTCTGTTGGGCTGGAGTTTCTCCTGCAGCCACAACCCCCACATATTCTTACAGCCAGAGGCTTTGAGGCTTTCTTTTCCCGCACTGGAACCCTGGATTGTGTGGTCTGTCTCACTCCTTCGTTGTTCCTCCTGGTTTATCTGCATGCAAATGTGAGACCACCTGTTCCTCCAGCTGCTGCCTTGCTGTGCTTCCTCTCCGCCCAGCTGCCCATCTCCACTCCTCTTACCTGTCTAGGTGAATGTTTCTTCTTTAAGTCCTTGGTGGTCAGACTTCCATACAGTTTGATTTTTGGCAGTTATGGTTATTTTTTGTTTTTAAATTTGTTGTTTCCCTTCTTTTGGTTGTGCAGGGAGACAAAGTGTATCTACCTATGCCTCCATCTTG